GGGAAAAAAGATGGGAGATAAACTGTAAAAAAGAATTATCTGATTTTGGTTCTCATGATTGACCCCAGATGTTAAGTCCTTGAAGCTTTAGCTCATACTTTAGCCTCACATTTAATTGATAGTTTGTATGGGTATAAAAATTTTGTTAAGATAACTACAATTTTTTAAAATACTGGTTAGAAATTTTTTTCTCAGAATTTTGAAGGCACTAATCTATTGTCTAATACCGTTCTGATTCTTAATCTTTTATGTAAAATTTGTTGGTTTGGGCTGGATACTTTTTCTTTTCTTTGTTCGCAGTGTCCTGAAATTTCATTGATATAGGTTTACTTTTAAACCATTGTCTTGGACACTTGACAGGCTTTCTCAATATCAAAGCTCATATCTTTCAGGTCAGAGAAATTTAAGTCTTAAGAAGACCCCTTTTTAGAATATCACTTTTTCTTTTTACATGGATGCAGTGTCTTCAGAAGCAATGAGTAATGCTTTTTTTCTTTTTTTTAGTTTTTTTCTCCCCCAAATAGGCTGCCTTTTTTATGGTTTCTCTTAAATGCTTTCCTTAAATGTCTGATAATATTTGACTCTCTACTCAGACTTAAGACTAAAGAACTTTAAAACCTGACAGGAAGGTCTGAATGCCTGGGTAGGATGCATTGACTAAAAGCACCATTGTATCATGATCCTGCTGAGATCCTTCTTTGAGGAATTCAAAGGATCCCTTTACATACAATTCCAGAGAGTCCTGGTGCCTTTCTTTCCTTGTGAAATCTCAGAAGTACTTTGAGGCACATTCATTGCCTTTAGAACCTATGTCTAATTTCACCTGGAAAAATAATATTTTCTCTTTTCCATGATATGAGTGCATTGTTGGCATTTCACAATTTAAAGTTTTTGTCTTTGCTTTTAGTATTGTGAAGATATTCCTATAGTTTTTATAAAATTAGAAGACGGTGGGCCTCAAAAAGGTACACTCAAGGATATGTGTGAAAAAAAAAAAGAATATATGTGTACTTTTCAAGACAAGAGTCAGTAGCTTTTATCAGGTTCTTTATCCTGTGAATGACCCCCCAGAAAATGTCAAACAAAACTAAACAAAAGTAAAAAGTGACATGTTGTGTAAAGGGTGGTCCTTATCCTTGAATGTACATCAAAATTATTCAGCTTTTTTGAGCATCTACATTTCTAGACTCTACTCTTATACCAGGAAAAAGTTTCAGGAAAAGATATTTCAATAGACTACTCCTTGTTTCAACCACCAGATGGTAGAATCTGCCCAAAACGGCTTGGTTGTACTACTGAAAGATGGTGTCCATTTGTATATACCAGATACACACACAGGCAGATAGATGTTCATAGTTCAGCAGCACTTTTGTCCTGAATAAATGATAGTTCCATTTTGGTTAACTCAACTCCTTTCTGAGTCAGCCTCATTTGGTTTGAACAGAGGATCTGCCGCAGTGATCCTCTAACTGAGCATATCAACATCTCCTGAAGTGCTTTTAAAATATATAAGTTCTGGGTTTTCACACTCTGGATTTAGGTTCATTAAATCTGGGGAGCGATTCTACATTTTTTGTAGGCATCCTCAGTTACTCTGATGCTGATGATCAATGGGCCGTATTTTGAGATAGGCTGATCTAAATTTGCGACCAATATTATCCCTGAAAGTTTTTGTAGCAGGGTTGGGTTGAGAAGGTTACTTGTCTGCTTTTTATTGTTTTTTAAATATAATTAGTTCCTAGAAATCTAGTAAAAAGGGTGAGCAGTACATCTCTTAGACATAGACAGCAAAAGCAGCACTTTAGAAGGCCCAGCTCTGGGCTTCTCCCAGGCAGACTCCTTTTCAGAGGATGTGGAGTCCCAGAGGACATCCCTGAAAGTGGAAGTGTTAGTTGCTCAGTCATGTCCAGCTCTTTGGGACCCCATGGACTATAGCCCGCCAGGCTCCCCTGTCCATGGAATTCTCCAGGCAAGAATACTGGAGTAGGTTGCCATCCCCTTCTTCAGGAGATCTTCTTGACCCAGGGATCAAACCCAGGTCTCCTGCATTGCAGGCAGATTCTTTACCATCTGAGCCACCTTGAAGTCTAACCCATTTGAGACCACACTTTGGGTACTCAGTACCCTGGAATTCCTTGCCCAGATGTTTACTTTCAGGGCCTGCATAGGCCTCTACCCTCTCAGAACCAATATGCACACTCCTAGGTCCAGGGGATAACTAGATAGCTTCAGTTTTATCAAATAGTCCCTTACTTTCAGATTTTTCGTCTCTCCACCAAAAACTTTCTCTGTGCCTTTGCTATCCTATTTTCAGTTCAGTTTAGTTGCTCAGTCGTGTCCGACTCTTTACGACCCCATGAATTGCAGCACGCCAGGCCTCCCTGTCCATCAACAACTCCCGGAGTCTACTCAAATTCATGACCATCAAGTCGGTGATGCCATCCAGCCATCTCATCCTCTGTTGTCCCCTTCTCCTGCCCCCAATCCCTCCCAGCTTCAGGGTCTTTTCCAGTGAGTCAAGTCTTTGCATGAGGTGGCCAAAGTACTGGAGTTTCAGCTTTGGCATCAGTCCTTCCAATGAACACCCAGGACCGATCTCCTTTAGGATGGACCGGTTGGATCTCCTTGCAGTCCAAGGGACTCTCAAGAGTCTTCTCCAACACCATAGTTCAAAAGCATCAATTTTTCAGTGCTCAGCTTTCTTCACAGTCCAACTCTCACATCCATACGTGACCACTGGAAAAACCATAGCCTTGACCAGATGGACCTTTGTTGGCAAAGTAATATCTCTGCTTTTTAATATGCTATCTAGGTTGGCAATTATCAAATAAGAAAGCATTTTTTAAATTGCATCTCTGATGTTGAAGAAGTGACCCTTCTATCTATAGTTTTATTCGTATAATATTTGATGTCAATGATTACATTTGATATGAGGCTGCGGTGTTTTAATTGCAGTAAATTTTGTTAGAACAAAGAAAAGCTACAGCTTTCCCAACAATTGGGAAGTTTTAGTTCCTCTGCCACAATCCTCCTTTATAGCCAGGAAGAAGGAGGACACGCGCTCTATATTATTTCTTCAAAAGGGTCTGGGGACAAGAGAAAGGAAGAGATTAACTGACTTAATTTTATATTTGGAGCTATAAATCATGTTGCAATTCGGTGATAGGATGTTGCATCAGAGCATGGCAGTTGTAGTAATGCAGTGGGTATCACAACCACCGGGAGGTCTTTGTGGTGCTCTATGCCCTTTCCCTGGAGATTCAACTCGAAGTTTATCTCCCTTGTGCTATGCCAAACAGGAAGGTTTTACTTCAGTTACATAGTAACTCACAGTGATGTTCTGTTAGCCTAGGGCACAGGAATTTCTTAATGTCTGAGTTTTCCCTGAGGCAGACATTGCTGTGTTGAGCCCCAGCATCCTTCTTGTTTCCCATTGTCACATACCAACAGAGATTTACTAGGGTTTCTTCACTTCTTCCGGGATGTCTATCAGGAAAGCTAGGAGGTGTTATGGCAAAGCTGTAATGTCTTTACTCTCAGAACCGTTAGTTTTGAAAGTGTATGTAATATTTCCTGACTATTTCACATTGCCTTTATCTCAAGATTTGAAAGATAGTTAGTGACCAGGAATTTGTCCCTAAAGAACAAATATTGCAGGTTGATAATACTGATAAGGGCAAGAGATATGAAGTGTATTTTTAGCAAATTCTTGATGGTCAAAGTAGATTTGGGTAGTTATTTGTTTTTATTGTTCTAGATTTTTTAAAAATCTATTGTAGGAGAAAATTCATGATGAATGAGAGAAATTAAACAAGTGATAATATAAAGATTAAATTTTATATTTTTGAAACAAATTATTGAAAAGAGGCTGATGTCTTAATTATATGGTAGTGGACATGATAGTATCTATGGAGGGGGGTTTGGGAATTTGAAGAAACAGGCAAAGAAGGGGCAGATGAAAAGAAATCACTCTGAATACTGGTAAAACTGGTTTGGGAGAATGTGGTTTTTGATGTATGACAACAGTGGGTTTTTCAGTATTGAACGTTAAGAGTTGGTCTGACTTGCCCACCCAGTAATAGGTAGCATTTGATCTCCATAGCCCTTCCCACACAAGAGTATGGCCCTGTAAGACTCCAGGGATGGAGAAGCAGAACCTGGTTCCCAGAGATGGAAGGAGAGGGAAAAGAGCTGAGCAGTACTTGCCATCCCTCTCCCCTACCCCTTCGTGAGAGAAGTCACTCTTTCTCCCTGGGAAGAATAGGGGAGAGAAGACAAAAATATTATACGTTCCCTCTACACAGAAGAACATGTCATGGTGGGAAGAAAGCATCTCTGTTCTCACTGAGTGATAATGGCATGGTGGTCTTTAGGCTGTTTTAACAGGATGGAGACTCAGCAAATGTTTTTGATTTGTAAACCATTATCATCATCATCATTCACAAAATTATGGAGACATGCTCTAAGACAGGGTGTGTGATAGTTCAGAGTATTGTCTTTATTAAGTTCATTTCTTCTGCAGATGTACACTGAAATATTTACAGATGAACTGATAGGATGAGATTTACCTCAAAATAATCAGGAACATGAGAAGTATATTGTAACAAGATTGTCCATGATGTGTTAGATGTTGAAATTAATGATGGGTACATGAGGTTTATGTTATTTCTAATATAGCAGAGGTTCATTTTGAATCTAAACTTGACTGTTAGTTGTGTGTCCTCAGCAAGCTATACCACCTGAGTCTCTTATTTCCTAATCTCTAAAATGAAGAAAGTAAAATCAACCACATAGGATTGTTGTAATGATTTCACTAAAAATAAATTATGTGCCCATTGCATGACATTTAAGAGTCAGTAAAAAATGTGATAGTTACTATTTATATCCATAAATTGAAAAAAGACCAAGATATCTTCTTGCTTAAATATGAAATGTTTGCTTTCTTGGAGTGTGTGTATTTCCCCAAGTTGAGTATATTAACTTGGATTTTGTTTTGACAGCTCAGGTGCCTAAAAGGCCAGAGAGGCTTCTCCAGCCAACCCCCTTTTGATGGAATCCACATCGTCAACCATTTAATAGGAGATGATGAATCATTCCATTCCTCTGATGAAGAGTTTATAGATAATTCCTTGCAGGAAAGTGGCATTGGTTTCCCTTTGCACAGAAAATCTGGTCCAATGTCTTTGGACCCTACTATGGCAGATGGGAGTGAAAGCGAAGCAGAAGACAGTGCGCTGGGGACCAGAGAGGGCAGTCAAGTGGCTCAAAAGGAGGAGCCCCTGAGAAGAGCATCATACTCAACCACTGTCTGACCATCACTGTGACCTAGACTGTGGATTTTTTTTAAGGGATCAGGTATCATGACTAAGTTTTTGGAACATATCTGTTTCATATGTATATGTGTGTGTATGTATATATAAATATATATTTTACAGTCTTATCTGCCTTTTTATCTTTGCCAAATCTTCACCACTGACTTACCATTGCCATAAAGTAGAATGGAATATGGTTAATGGGAAAAATGAGGTTCTAACAGTATTACTAAATATTAACATTTCTTGTTTAGAAAATGCAATTATATCTATATGTGGGGAACCATTTTGAAGTTCAGAACTATGGAAAATTGAATTTTCTTCAGACAGAGCTGTTCTCGTGCAATATTTTATGCTCAGTGAACAAATTGTATATTTTTATTTATCAATTTGTTTTCAGAGCAGCTGTCTACACACATTTAACCAAGGCATACATCTGAGTTATCTTGGTATTTTGTGTTTGGAAACTTCTTTTTTTTTCCAACTAAAATTACTGCTTTATTAGTGGGCCATTGAAAATTCCCAAATACAAAGCCTTTTTTCACATAATTTTATAAACACAAGTTAATGGTTGTCTTATGAATTTTAAGTTTTAACTTCAAATTTTTATGTGCATATGATGCTTCCATGTGTTGCCTACCAGAGTACTAGTTAGCTACAAATATATTGGGTTTTTGTACATATTTATAAATCTGTACCACCCAACACTGAACATTTTATATGGAAAATGTACTTGTTGAAAAATGACTGCCTTCAGCATTATAACTGGATCTCTGTAAATAATAGGTTAAAGAAAATTGAAAATAAAACCAAACACTAATATTGCAATAGCTTTAGTATTTTACTTATTAGCATTCAGCACTAGCAAATTCATAACTGATGCTTATTCAAAGACACTATTGGTGAAATCTTTTACTTCATGTGTATGTAACTACTAAATTTTTCTTGATTAGAGAGGTTATAGCAGGCATCACTTAGTGCTAATATTCTACTTAATATAATTTAAGCAATGGACTGAGGTCCACGATGCACAACAATTATATCTGCAAATAATCTATGAATATTATCTTCAGATTCTCTAGTTACTGATCTATAGATGAAGCAAGCCATATGAATCCGTTCCTACCAGTTCTTTATCATCTAGATTTTTTTTTTTACCCTAGAAAACTGATGCCTGTCATTGATAAATGAGAGGAAACACCCAAACTACATTTCCACTATGGAAAGACTCCAGAAATGTGTTGGCTGGATGCTTTCTACTTTTTAATTTTCCTCAGCAGCTTATGAAAAGAAAATAATCCTCAAGAATAAGTGGAAGGCAGAATTCAGTAAATACAGAGGTAAATTTTGTACAATGTGTTGCATGCAGGAAAAAAAATACATGATAAAATGGAATAGAAGAGAAAAAAATAGTTTTCTAAAACAAGGAGGTAAGCCTTATGGTACATTGTAAGCAAGGCTTTCCCAGCAAGCCCTTTGTAAGCAAGCTCTTGAGAGAGGAGATTGAAAAGATGCCTCCTGTGTCCATAGCTCCAGGCTAAATTCTAGTGATTAAGTAATTTACCTGTGGCCACAAGTTAGTAAATATCAGCTAAAGTTTTAATCCAGATCGCTCATTAGAGCGTTTGAAAGATCGCTCCAAAGCATTTGATAAGGCTCAGCTAAATGAATTTATCAATTCCCTGCTCTTCTGGCAATTAATGTGATTTAAATAAATTTGACTTAAACTGTTTTCTGGATATATTACAGAGATATATATCTATATGTATAGATATGTGAGTATCAACATTCATAAGCTTTATAGCTTATGAATGTAGGTACTACTAGAATTGTCTGGTGCCTTTGGGATTCTCTTTTTGGGTTCATTGCTGTCATTCTTGAGGCTGTTGATGCCCAAGTGAAGTAAGATGATTTATGGCCACATGATAGCTTTGACCCCCACATCAAGAAATCTGAATGGTCCAGCCCATAAGCTAGTTCCAGCCAACAGCCTATTTTTACATGACCCACAAGCTAAGAGTGATTTTTATATTTTTAAAGAGTTGAGGGGAAAAAAATCACATGAAAATCATATGACCTTCAAATTTCAGTGTCAATAAAGTTTTATTAGAGCATACCCACGCTTCTTCATTTGCATATTGTCTGTTACTGCTTTTGTGCTACAGTAGCACAGTAAAGTAGCTTAAAATATCTGTCACTTTAGAGAAGGTTTGCGGATTTTAATTTAGATACTCTAACATGTAGGTTTACCTCTTCAGTTTGTCTCAAGTAGAAGATTTGCTTTTGCTATTGAACTAATGGTTTGGACCTAAAATTTCCTGGTGGATCCTATACGTAAAACTATTCAAAATGGAGAGGGTGCCAGCTATTTTAGATTATGAAGTGTTTGAAGACATAGAAAATTTGGAAGGATATCTATGCCTTTGGAAATGGAGGAAAAAAGGAAAGAATTCCAGAATCTTGGCACCATTCTCTAAAGCATGCATCATTGACCTTTAGGGTATGCTTCATTGAGTCAGTGTTATAATTTGATTTTAAAAGTATGAACATCCTTTTAGAATCATGTTTCAATTCTAAACTTTGAAAGATATCCTTAGAGAATTTCCTAAGTACTGTTTCTGGTTAGGAATTAGTTGTTAAGTAAACCTTAATCTGTTGGGACTCTTGTAATTTGAATAGTGAAAAACTAAAAACAACAATCTTTTCTTTCAAGATCTTTGATTCAGATACTTCTTAGAAGGGTTTAAAATCTTCCTGGCCTTTAGGATGTAATAGGATAACTTGCTCACTTGAAATAGATTATTTCTGGTGTCATTGTCATCCTGGGTTGAAATGCTGAGAAGAGGTTACAAGTCACGTGAATAAAGTGAAAATTACATTGAGGTGATTAAGCAGACACCTTACAGACCAAGAAAATATTTCAATAGGCTATTAAAAAATAAGTGGAAAAAATTTTTGTTCCTGGAAAAATATGTCAAAGATATAACTACATGATTTCTACCCTTTTTGTTGATAGGGTTAAGCATTCAGTGTTTGATGACTAACTGAGACATCAAGTCCCAACCAACTGGCTGGATATATGGGGAAGGAAAAAAAAACTTTTTCTTAGCTCTGAATGCAGCTTGTTACTCTCCAGATAGTGCCTTTGATTGAAAACAAGGTCTAGACATTTTTAAGTATTTTATTTCTGACATCATTAGAAATGACATGGTTCCTCATGCTTCTTTTTCTTTACATAATGCACTATAATGTTCAGATTTAAAGCAAAATGAGTATATGAATCGTGTTTTAATAAAGCCCTTTCACGGCCAGCTTGATTTTTGTATAAGTACCAGGCATCAACAACTAACATTTCATTAAATCAGTGATTTACTTTGTTAAAACAATGAACTTTAGCCTGAAAGTTATTGCTGCTCTGTCATTAATGAAACAATAAGTTTTTTAGTTAATTTAATTCATTCTACTGAAGTTAAATTTTCTGATTAAAAATGGAGTGAATGCTATTTATAATCCAAGTTTTTACATTACATCCATTGATCTGCCTATACCTTCTTTTCATTCCAAAGAAGATAGAATAATACATTAAATATACTATAGAGATGCAAGATTACTATAATGTATTTCATTTTACTGTTGGAATTTCTTATTGTAACATTATATGATAACCTGAAATGTTTACTTGTGCCTTTGCTTTAAACAATTAAAGTTTTCCATTTTATAAGAATTTCTGTTTCCTTAAACTATTCAACTTAAAAGGGAGTAGGCATCAAAGGTCTGTCTAAAAAGGTATAGCCTAACATCAGGTATTCATGAGTGAGGCCTGTGTTCTCTGGGTATAGGGACCATATCCATCTGGTCTACCCATGTATAACTAGTGCTAAACAGAGAGCCTGGTATATATTTTTCAATAATGAAAGCCTAAAATACCCAGATTTGTTATTTCCTTCAGAAACATTGTTATTTTTTGAAGATTGTAATGGCAGTATTTTTATCTCACATTGTGTTTTAGGTTATTTGGTTAGTAACTGATTCAATAAATATATTTAAATATATAATTTGAATATATATACAGAGGTAATTATAAAAAGAAATTTATGCCTTCTGCATCATTACAATGTTCAGTTCAGTTAAGTTGCTCAGTCGTGTCCGACTCTTTGCAACCCCATGAATCGCAGCACGCCTGGCCTCCCTGTCTATCAACAGTTCCCGGAATTTACTCAAACTCATGTCCATCGAGTCAGTGATGCCATCCAACCATCTCATCCTCTGTCGTCCCCTTCTCCTCCTGCCCCCAATCCTCCCAGCATCAGGGTCTTTTCCAATGAGTCAACTCCTCTCATGAGGTGGCCAAAGTATTAGAGTTTCAGCTTCAGCATCAGTCCTTCCAATGAACACCCAGGACTGATTTCCTTTAGGATGGACTGGTTGGATCTCCTTACAGTCCAAGGGACTCTCAAGAGTCTTCTCCAACACCACAGTTCAAAAGCATCAATTTTTCAGCACTCAGCTTTCTTCACAGTCTAACTCTCACATCCATATATGACCACTGGAAAAACCATAGCCTTGACCAGACGGACCTTTGTTGGCAAAGTAATGTCTCTGCTTTTTAATACACTATCTAGGTTGGTCATAACTTTCCTTCCAAGGAGTAAGCGTCTTTTAATTTCATGGCTGCAGTCACCATCTGCAGTGATTTTGTATCATTTAATTCAGAAGCAGTAGTTCATTGTATATGCTGCTTTATTCCCAAAAGGATTTAAGGCACTTCACAAGGGTACCTGAACTATGACAGGATAATTATAATCCAGGATTTCTTACCTTGGCACTGTTGACAGTTGGGGCCAAGTTGTTGCAGGTGGCTGTCCAGTACCTGATCGGATGTTTGTCAGCACCCCTAAGCTCTATGCAATAAGTGTCATAGCTCCCCCTCCTTCAGTCATGATAACCTAAAATGTCTCCAGTTGCCAAAAGCTGGGAGGACTGAGAATGAAAATCACCCC